AAAAGTGAATAACGTTTGAAGTTTGGAAGGAACACTTACGAATAAATGAATTAAATTTGAAAAGAGTTTCTAGCAAGCTATACAGACGTACGTGCAAATCAAAATCAAGGTCACACGAAGTTCGTCTTGTGATAAAATGCTGAATAGTGTTTTACTTACGAGTCCGACATCGTACAATATGGCGCCACAACTAGTTCCAGAAAATATTTTAGTTTAGATAAGTTAACACTGCCCCGTGAAAAACAATTCTGCTGTAGATCGATTTGAAACTTGATGATTGGTTTTAATTTGGAGCTTTGTCTTTCTTGTTTGATGAAACAGGTGTTTATCCGACAAGGCACTATATTGCACTAAATCTATTTTTAAAATTTCTTCCCGCTTATATTTTGAATGTATTTAAGAGATCGAATCCCCATCAGTATTTCTTCATCAGAATAAAGAGAGCGTCATTTTCGCCCCAGTATTTCTTCATCAGAATATCAAGAGCATCAGTATCGCCCCAATATCTCTTCACCAGAATACCAAGAGCTTCATTTTCGAAAAAACCTCTCTGATCAGGGGCCAGTGCATATAGGTTTTCTGAGAAATACACAGCGCGTGTGTGTGTCGGTCGAGCTAGTCGAGCTAGTTCCGAATCAGTTATGAATCAGGGCGTCTATTGTCGTCAACTTTTTGCTGCTGCTGCTCCTCTAATGAACGGCCAACAATTAAATGTCAGTCTTGGTAATTTTTGATCAAGAAACTCTCTGCCGCGATTTTCAAAATTTCGGACAAGACGCGATTTACATGCAAATCTCGCATAAGAGCCTCTCACTCGCACCCATTGTCAAAATAGGCGAACGATTTTCAAGCTAGGGCGCCCTCTTTAATCGATATGCTCCCATAAAAAATGCACTGCGTCTATGTGTCGATCGAGATTGTCCCTGCAGTTTTTGATGAGTACATTAGTGCCTCATACCAAAACAGTAGTATTGCCCTCTTATTAATCACGCCTGTCATCACTTTTTTGACCTTGAAATTGCCTGCTACCACTTTTTCAAGGGAATAAAACTAATGAGCTGCTTAATCGTGAGCATAAAAATTCAATGGCTGATCATTTGAGAGAATAAATTTAGTATAGGTGCTTGTTATCAATAATTTTGAGATATAATTAAAATGAGAATTTAAAATGAGAATTTAAACAACCGATCGTGAGTAACTTAATATAACTTGTACTACAAATAGCGTAGTATCTAATCAACAATACGTATGTAAGATTGTAACATGAAAAACAGAGTCGATGTGGCTGAGAAATCCGGTAAAATGAACAATCTGTTCATAGCCACCAACGTGATTGGTTGATTTTACGGATAACTTATTTCAAATGCAAAAACTTAACAATTGCCCTTAAAAACTAATATCAACACTAAGAAATAAATATTGACATTATAAATTAAAAGTTACAATTAACTTGAAAAAAATTGTTAACATTAATCAGTAAATACAAATTAATAATAAAACACGGACCAATATCAATAGGCAAACGAAAGCTATTGCAACACCTCTCTATGTATGATGCAATATTGATGATACTTCTCGGTGCATCAACAATTTTTTTTTTTTTTTCACTATGTTATTAGATTATCGTGCCTCGGCTTTAAGTGACACTACGTTAATAAATTAAATGATAGAAAAATGTGTAATTCTTTTACTTAATAGACAATGTACTTCTTCAAATTATATAGAATATCATATTCTGATCGTGTTTAATATATTGGACGATAAAGAAGAACGAGTCATGATGGGTAGAGGTAAGAAGAAAGTTACAAATGAAAGAAATCCATTACTGCTACATTTTACTGCTAGACTTCTTATTAATTTGTAACTTTGCCGTTAGTTTTTAATATTGCTTTTATACCCTTATAATTATTAATATTAACATTGCTCCGTCTCTTATCTTATTAAATTGTCATATTGCTTTTACTGTACTATTGCACTTCCTTTACCTTACCGCAATAATTTATAACATTCCTCATAGTCATCTTAATAATTTGCAATGTTTGAATTACATCTCACTAAAATTGTATACCATTGGACTCATAAATGATCAATAATGAAGAAGTAGTGAATCACCTATTTTTTATATGTATATTTTGTATAAGAGTAGAAAAGTCTTTTTCTATCTGAATTGCAAACAATATTCTGATTGGAAGAATTCTGTTAATGGTTCTGCTTACATATTAGAAAATTTAGCGCAATTATTGCCATAAATAAGAATATATACAGTAAAAGTTACTTATCGGGGTATACGTGCTGCGAATACCGAAACCGCGACTACGGAATTTGGGTTGAATACCTATTAGAGTCCTTTTTTTCCTATGTAGGTACTTATTAGAATCCGCGAATAAAGAAATTTATAGCCGCGAATAGAGGAATTGTATCGCATTTTTTTAACCCGCGAATAAGGAAACCGCGAATGAAGAAAGCGCGAATAAAGAAGTTTTACAGTATACGAAAATCAATACATTTACGACAATTGTTGATAATTAATAATAAAATCTGACAATACAAAAGGTGGTATGATATAACAGCATTAAGCGAATGGCAGCGTATGCAGTATGAGTTGTTCTTGGTTTAAGGTTAAAGTTACTGCTTAAGTGATGAAATTAAATTCTACCATGGTTCGATCAGACAGCAGGCATGGGATAGTTCTTATAATGTTATGAAAAATAATTGTGAACGTTTTTAGACATTGCCCTATTGGTGTTTATGCCAATGTATGTTAAACCATTAATGCCCCATTCTAAACTATAATATATCGTCTTATTTCCCGAAAGGTGTTCAAACAATTATCGATATTTTTTTATATAGACAAATCATTCCCATTATCTCGTCAATAGAGTTTCTGGCAGCTACTGGACCATTCAAGTTAAATGTATTCACAAAATTATTGACCATATTATTCCCTTTAAGTATATACACTATCACCTGAACAACAACAACAACGACAAATGTCAGTCATATTTTTCTATAAGCAAAGATATTATCTATGTATGAGTGTACGGGAAATCAACAATGAACAAATCGCAAATGATAATCCTTTTGCGAATGCCCTTTAGGGAAGTCCATATGTGTTGAATAGAATAGATAGGAAAATTTTAAACAAAATTGCAATTGTAGAAGCATCTGCGACCAGAGTTGAGCAAGTGAACGGTAGTCTTCTAAGACGATTGGAAGATAAGGACAAAATTATAATTGAAAAACATTATCACACGTGATCTTCGTGATAGCTTAGATTACTTTAAAAGAATATTAGCAGAGAAGGAAAAAACACTAGCATCAAGACATAAATAATTATTAGAAGAAAATAAACAATTGGCGGAAACTTTGCAATCAAGAACAACAGATTTACAATTGAGATTACAAAAATATGAAAAAATTGATATGAAAAGAAAAAAGAGCAGAGTAAAAATAATTTATGCACTCTTATATAATTTCATTATTCATGTTCATTAATAACATGAATGAGAAAGTAATAAGTAATAATTTCGCAATGCTTTTCGCATTCTACTCTCCAAGTTCTTTTATTTGATACCCATATCGCTGATATTTTGAAGAAAAATTGTTCGGGATGCCTACCATATTCAGTTAACCCATTTTTAAGCAGATAATAATATATCTTCATTTGAGGAGTGTACAAATAAACATAAAACATCAAAAATAAAGTATACCGCCATCTTACAGTGGTGAGTATAAAAATATAAGTAAAAGGCACACCCGTCTCATATGATTTGTTTTTTTTTATTTCTTTCATAAATTGTATTGAAACAAAAAAAGGTATAAATATATACAGTCAAACCTGTTTTTGTGCGGTCTTTTTTTATGCGCTCTTTTTATGCGATTCTTTTTGTGCGAATCTTTTTTTTGTGCGAATCTTTTTTTGTGCGATTCTTTTTGTGCGATTTTTTTTTTGTGCGGTATATGAATATCGACACATTGAATTTCGCCGAGAGGTTAGGTCAATCTGAACTGTGTTGGCATCACTTTTTTTGCTATCAGTGTGTATGTACACATTGCAACAGCCATTTTAAATTCGTGCTGGAAAGCGGTCTGGCCTGAATGTGTCATTAATAGAAATGTAACCGACAACGCGTCCACTTTATCATCAGATATCATTGCGCTAGCACATCAAATCTGCGGAGAAGGTTTTGACTCTTTCAGCGAAAATGATCTTATTGAAATGATTGAGGACGAAACCGTAAATAATAGTGACATTATCAATAACTTAACAGATCATGAAGACGGACAAGAAGAACCGGAATCTATTACAGCGGATAAAATATATGCAGGGATTCAGCTTTGCAGCAAATTGGGAAAGCATTTTCTTAAAATAGATAACAATTCTCAAAGAAGTTTGAAATTCCAAAAAGAGCTTCGATTGTGTATATCTGGCTATCGCGACGTTTACAAACAGCTGACCAAACGACCGTCGTCGCAAAAACTTATCACCGACTACATGTTAACAAAAAATAAATCAACTGTAGTATCTTCAAGTGACGAAAGCGATTACGAACCAGTTCATCGCAAAAATATGCGCGTTTTGAACTACGACGAGTAGTACATATTGAATTATGTACATTTTGAAAATTTCTCCTTGTTTAAAATTAGAAATTAAAATTTTTTTATATGTTTCAATGTGTAATTTAATTATTTATTTTGTTTGGAAAGCACTTTCTTGCTATTTCGTAAAGCTTTGACATATTTTCTAAGTGAGACTTTTTTTATGCGCTCCCTCTCTACCGCATAAAAAAAATTTTCTTTAATATGCTGTGAAAAATTATTTCTTATAGCTATTTATGAAGTTTTTGAATATTTTTTTTTGTGCGGTTTTTTTTCTGCGGTCCTTATCTACCGCACAAAAACAGGTTTGCCTGTATATTTTATTTACGATTTCCATTTCATTTTGTTTTCATTAACAATCAATTGGTTTTACTAAGAAAGTACTGAGAATACTTGGATGCCATTCACAGATTAAATTTCACGTGCAAATGCATGTCCATGTGCGAGCAATATGAATGGGGAGGAGAAGCGTATCCACCGAAGAACAACCAAGGCATAGAGCTCAATGTTTAACCTCTCGAATATCCCAAACAGCAGGTGTCCAAACAAACCATGATAGAGATGATGATGATGATGATGATGATGATGATGAAAAGTAAAAAGATCATAGCCATAAGCATTTATAGCTTAGTTGTGTTCCTCTACATATGTTACCAGTAGACGAATGTATATACAAGAATTGTACTCCATAATAACTGAAGGTAAAGGTATTGCTTCTAATATATATTTCTATCAGTCAAGTAGTTTATAATAGAATTGATATAAAAAGGCATGGATTAACAACAATTACAACAATAACTATTAAAGCAAAACCTATCTACAAAACTTTCGATCGTTTTTATATCATTTAATGTAGTATACGAACAACTTGGCATAACTGCTTCATTTTTATGCCTTACGCCGTTTGTGGCAATCGGTGTATTAAGTTGGTGCAGACAGATGTAACACGAGGAATGGCTTAAGATAGACCCACCTTTTATTATGCCGATGGATTCATGTTCGTAATCTGAATTGATCTAAGCATGTCTCTCCGTCTGATGTCTGTCCATGTGAATTTGTGTTCGCAATTTTAATACGTGGTGATGAAAATAAGCCCATAATATTATAGTAAATTTATACAAAATTTGGACCATCTATGCCTATTTTTCGTTCCTTCCCTATGGAAGGATTAAACTTGTACTAAATTAGGTTGCGTTTTGGGCCCTCTTCCCCATAAATACACACTTGAAAAATTGCCTTCATATAGAAATAAAATACAATTCTTGTGTTCTAGAATAAAAAGAAGTATGATATTAGACAATGTGGTGTAGGGTCTTTAATGGACGGCCTTGCCCGACTACAATGTTCTTATGTGCTTTTATAAAGTTTCTGTCATAAACTACTAATACACGTTATTTAAATGATATCTTACTCACTATTCCAACTAGTTCTAAATGGGAGCTTGGTCGTAATAGTGGCTCGTTCCAATCCAATTGCAATAGCATTTACTCTTGATCCAAATTCTGTCAAAATATCACGAAAATTTCAACTTTTACGTTGAACAAAAAGCAACTTGGATAGACAGGGAAATATTAAATGATCTCAACTTCTTCTGTGTGTCACTTACATTTACATACACTTAACACACCTTTGCTATAGGAGGTGAAGAGTATAAATACTTACTTAGATGTCAGAATGACAGAATAGGCAAGAATCAAGTAAAATAGAAGAGTAAACTCAGAATAATTTCAGCATTTATGCGCGTGTCTATGTTACAAAGGAGGAGCAAAGGAGAGTATGTCGTCCAACCAAAAATTTCAATAAAAGATAAAACAAACGCTTCTCAATGAAGTAAGGCAAATTGATTTTGAATTTTTTAAATTCTGTATAAATTTAGTTCGCTGATTAGCGCTTAACTTTTCGTTAGTGACATAACCTCACAAATCGAAAATCTTCAAATTTGTCGCGCAGGATATTAGATTTAAACAAGTAAGAATATCTTACTCGAGCAGCGCCGACCATACATACCCTACATCACTTAGCCGAGCACAGTTATCCACTCGTTTTGATAACAATACACAATTATTTCCATGCAAAGCCATGAACTTTATGAAAGACTGCGTATGGGAAGATTAGATTTTCCCTCTATATAAGAGATCTATATGATTTAAATTCACTACCATCAATATTTTTGCTTACACGCTACTATGGATTAATTATCATCATAAAATATTAAAAATTAAAGCTTTTTGCGAAGGACCTACCACTTATAAAATATGTTGCATGGAGAGGAATCAAGAAATAAATACATGTGGTTCAAAGTAGATCCACTTAATTATATCCTATAGTACACGCCATATTAACTAACTTCGGTTGTATGCAGCACGCAGAAGGGCTTAAGTTGGGCCCAACCTTTATTATATCGAAAATGATTCTGGTGGCTCTTCATGTAAGTTTGTGCTTATGCTAGAGGTCGTAATTTTTGAGAAAATTGATACACTAATGCGCTTTGACTCAAGAACGAACGCAATTGAAATGCGGAATAAGGGATGAATATGCCATCTTCTGAAAGGTCATTACATGAAAAAAAATGGCATTTTTAACATTCCTCGACAAAATTCGCTGTGTAATAATATTTCGGCATTCTAAGTTGGTGTGAAAAGTTTGGATCGGCTGAGGCAATTTCTTTAACCCTCTCTCATATAATCATTCCTATGAAACTTGAACCTTTATATAACAAAAAGATCTAATTTCCAATATTTCATGAAAGTTGACTCCAGTTAACTAGTAAATTAACGATGAAATTTATCTTACCGAATTTGCACCATGTAGGTCTATTTTTTGGATGCCACTGTCTATAATGTTTCTCGTGAAACGTAAACCTTCATATGCCTAAGTGTTAATTCTTTTGTGATGAAAATTTGTTCATGATGGTAGTTAAATAAAAAAATTAAGCGGACTTAATTTGGCCCGCATGACTCTATTTCTTGATCTAACTCCGTATAAGATATCTCGTAAGTACTAAATCCTTCGGAAAAACAGTTCATTTTGAATATTTTTTGATGAAAATGAATTCGCGTTTCAGCAAAAAAATCAATGGCACTGAATTCGGACCACATAGGTTTATTTTTTTGGACCCCATCCTATGTAGGCGTCATCACGTAACTTCACGAGCGAATAAATGTACTAGGCGAAGTGGGGTAGTGTATGTGATGGTCGACATACCCGACTATAAAGCTGTTACTTGTTAAATTTAATTAGATTCCCCGTTGCGCCAATTATTTATTTTATTTAATATCGAAGCTCTGTGTTAACATTAAACATATTCATTAAGTTGACGAAAGCATTAAAAAATCATTAAAAAATTATCTGGTTAAGCTTACTTAGGAAATGAATGTAGGATGCGGTAATTTGACACAAAAACTATTTGATCGATTAAGAATTGAATGCTGAAAAATGGTTGCGATCTACTTCTGAATACCATAAATGAAAAACTGAAACAACTTCGAAACGAGTAAAGACATTATAATTGGGCAAGACCTACCCCCACTACTTTGACCAGTATAAAAATTACACATTATTTTCATACAGATGCAAATGCATGCCCAAAATATCACATGATGTGTTCTAATTTTAGCAAACTTAATTTACGTCCTAATAACTTTATAAGTTTTCAATTTCCGACATAGGATTTTCTCTTCATAGAAGAGCTTGCTTTCATATTTCGATATTAAGCAACCGTGTCTTTTTCACTTGTCGAAAATTGAAGCTAATGTTTATGTTAGGGAGGCAACTCTATGCAATGAAAACGTCAAACATAAAATAAGAGTAAGTGGGAAGAAAATAATTTGTTTTCAATGAAAACTGTAAAAGGTGTCGTAAATCTAGTTATAAAAATATGTAAAGTGAATATACTATTGCAGTTTCCAGTGAAATTTTTTATAAGTATAATTTTTTTAATTAGTTGGTAAGAGGTATTACCTTTGGAAATGAATCACCTAAGATTTCTGTTGTCGTAAAAATCTGTCGGATGAATTTAGTTAGTGCGTTTCACATTATTTCTTATTTTTAAATAAAGATATGCAACAGCAAATACTGCCTACGGTAGCTCCACCACAACCAGGAACTCCTACTGGTTCTGGACGTGCAATGTCGATGTTCGATAAACAAAAATACATCGAAGATTATGATTTTCCATATTGCGATGAATCTTCTAAATATGAGAAAGTGGCAAAAATCGGTCAAGGTACGTTTGGTGAGGTATTTAAAGCGCGCGAAAAGAAAAGTAATAAAAAATTTGTGGCTATGAAGAAAGTCTTAATGGAAAATGAAAAAGAAGGGGTAAGTTTTTGCTTAACATGTTCAAGCTTTTTTTAATGGCTCTCTTGCGATGTTTCTTTTCGATCAGTTTCCAATTACGGCTCTCAGAGAAATACGTATATTACAACTACTTAAACATGAGAATGTCGTTAATCTGATAGAGATATGTCGTACGAAAGCTACTGCTCATAACGGTTACCGTTCCACTTTTTATTTAGTATTCGATTTCTGCGAACACGATTTGGCCGGCTTACTCTCGAACATGAATGTAAAGTTCAGTTTGGGTGAAATTAAAAAAGTCATGCAGCAATTGCTAAATGGTCTGTACTATATTCACAGTAATAAGGCAGGTATTTTAATAAAAAGAAGTAAGCTTTTTTTAGTAAGCTTATAAATGCTAATTGTGCCTTCAGATATTGCACCGCGATATGAAGGCTGCTAATGTCCTGATAACTAAGCACGGAGTCTTGAAATTGGCTGATTTTGGCTTGGCTCGAGCTTTTAGTATACCAAAAAATAATGTTACAAATCGCTATACAAATCGTGTGGTTACATTATGGTATCGTCCGCCAGAATTATTATTAGGGGATCGTAATTACGGTCCGCCAGTTGATATGTGGGGAGCTGGTTGCATAATGGCAGAAATGTGGACACGTTCACCTATCATGCAAGGCAATACTGAGCAACAACAATTGACTCTCATCTATCAGTTGTGTGGCTCTTTCAGTCCTGAGGTATGGCCAGGTGTAGACGAACTGGAATTGTATAACAAATTGGAATTTCCAAAAAATCAAAAGCGACGTGTTAAGGAGAGGTTGAGGCCTTATGTTAAAGATGCTTACGGGTGCGATTTACTGGATAAGCTTTTAACGCTCGATCCCAAAAAACGCATTGACGCAGATACGGCTTTGAATCATGATTTCTTTTGGACAGATCCCATGCCTTGCGATTTAGGTAAAATGTTGTCACAGCACTTGCAAAGCATGTTTGAATACTTGGCACAACCGAGACGTACAAATCAAATGCGGAATTATCATCAGCCAATGGTAAATATAAATCAAAAACCTCCTGATAACACAATGATTGACCGCGTGTGGTAAAATTCGCTGCCATAAGTAATTCGAATGACAATATTTAAAGAGGGTCGAAGGAGAAACCAAATGCAAAGAAATACAAAAAAAAAGGTCAGAGACCTATTACGATCAGGTTTCAAATATCGCCTAACTAATATTATAAGTTAGCGCTATTTCCGGTATGCGGTCCACGGACTGACAAAGATTACTCGATTTGAAAACTGTATGAATGCGCTGTAAGTTGCAGTAAATATACAGCCCTCTATGTAAACGTCGGATTAAGCCGAACCTAGGAACTAAGACGAGTTCTCCAGCTATATTTTGATTATATCATATTTATATTTTTTAAAGAATTTTTTGATTGTATGTAACAGAACATAATAAATATGGAAAAAAAAAATTAAATTAAAATCACAAAAATGTCAGGTTTATTATGTACCTAGAGATTTAATGTATGTTGCTAAGTAAGGAAATAAAGTTAATTTATAAATTGAAGTATAAAAAGTGGATTATTTTCTGCAGTCAGATGCTGCCAAGCTGTGCTTTACTATTGACTCAGATAATGATAAATTAAGCCGTGGTGACAAACCATGAACCTGAGAAGAAACGTAAAACTTAAAATATGCCTGATCATATATTACCTTTCTATATTATATACGTATATATTATATATATAAACATATATATTATTTTTATTATTTTAAATTTTTTAGAAGCAGAGATGTTAAACTATGCGCCACGTTAACAACGCAGGCAATGTTAGTTTAAGAGAACGTTGATTTGTAAAAAAGGATATTCACTGAGAATTTAAATTTTTTGTTGCGGAGTAAATAGCGCACTTTCCAAGTTTCTGAAATCATTAAACAGTTTTATACTATTATTGTAAATATTTAATAATAAAAGTATATTGAATATATTTAGGAATTTTTGTCTTCTTTTCATTTATTAATATAACAATTAATGCTCAAAGGGACAGCTCTTTTTTTCTTGTAAAAATGAAAACACATAATTGGACTGAAGCAGTTACAGTTAATCGATATTTGAAAAACTATATCAATCTTTTTATTATCTAAAAAGCACTCGTAGCGTCCATGGCCCTATGTTACGTTATACCTTTTTTCGTATTTGTTCACTTCGCACAACTTCTTTCTGCACTTGTAAAATGGCGTTGATTTCTAGCTAAAAACCGTTAACTGATTTTCTTCTTTAAAAGGTTTATAAAAAAAGCACCATTTGTTAAGGATAAAGAGAGAACAGATTTGGTTTCAATAAATGGCAAGGCATGAACATGAACAAAATGAATACGAAATAATCATAGTTGGAAAACTGTATAAAATTAAATAAGGTTAGTTCGCGTATTTTCGCGTATTTTCGAAAACACTAAACCGGCTTCTGAACCGAACTTATTGAAATTCACATCCGTAATGGTATGAGTTGTTCAATCCGTTTCGGGTTATGTATAAAATGTTCAACGATCGTTATGAATTACTTGATCGGTCTGTGTTGTCCGTTAATAAGATGAAAAGCGTTATATTACGTAATTAACAGCTAAGCCTTTTTGAGTCTTGTACAAAGGTGAATCGAAATACTCCTTTATATTTGATTTTTTCTCATTTCTCACTATTAATCAAATATAAATAAGCTCATACTCATTCATCAGTATATATTCAAGTATCTTAATTTAGGGCTTAGAAGAGTGTTCTTGTATACTATATAATAATCTCTTTAAAAGTTGGTGTAATTTTATAATACTATATTAATATTATAATATCCCTAGAAGTATGCAATAGGTTTTATATATATATAAAAAAAAAACTAATAAAAGAAGTAGCAAAAAAAAAATGTAGTTTCTGAGCTTAGCTTTGCAAAATCTATATATAAATATAATACCGCTATTCTATTTCCTAGAGTACAATTTCCTTTCCTGTACACTTCTTATGCAATGACCGTTTGATTTTGCTGAGAATAACATTACGGTAAACAAACTGCCCGAGTTCCACAATTACGGTAAATTTGCCACCCGAGTTCCGCAATAGCGTTACCGTTATTACGGTTAAGACAATCTCTCTTTTAGAGTTGCATTTGGAATAAAACTGCGGCAAAAAATTATAAACAGCTGTTAGCAAACGAATTATTAATTCAAGTATTTAAATATCGATTATTGTGCAAAACGTAAAATGAATATATATAAAAGGATGTAAAAATTCAGAGCACACAACACAAACATAAACAATAAACCATAAAGTATTGATATGGAAGCACTTTAAACCGATAATGGATGCCAATAGATAGATATTTTCTTTGCTAATAACGTTTGTAAAACGTTGCGCTATGCTTGTAGAAAAGGATGATAAACAGGAGGAGAGACCACCAAAAATTTTTCTATATATTTTCTCAACTATACAGTAAATACTATACCGGCGTTTGTTTTTTGTGCTTGTTTGTAAACGCGCTAAACTTTGTTGATGCGGTATGCCGTCAAAAATATAAATTCATATCCCCTTGTACATCTCCTGAATAGTTTTATACATTTTGTATAGGCGTGGCATTCGATTTTATCCTATTTTCAAAAAAAAAATGAATATTCTCTTTCCATATATATTCAC